TAGGGGGAGGAAGGTGAACGAAATGAAACACGACTTGGTAGTACTGGAGCAATCACATTGGTTTATATCCGGCTCGCCTCTCGCGCGCTACTATCAAGTATTCAAATGAACTGAATGGTTGAGCCAGAAGTTTTATTCCAGACCTTTCAATTGAGTTTATACCCAAATGCGCAGTTGTATTGGACACACGTTTGTGAGCGCCGATCGCTTTTTTGACGCGGGGACTTTCGATGCCGAGGGCTTTCGCGACCGCTCTAAACGTGCCCAACATTTGATTGATCACTTCTTTCCACGCAGTTTACACGGGACACCCGCCGCTTGACGTTTCCTTGTGTTTAATGTTCAGGGCATTATTATTTACCGGCCGACAACCCATGATTTCTCCAGAAACGGAAGTACAGCAGCCTAATCTGGAAGTTCCTTTTGATGCCAGTGCTAGCCGCTTGGCCGCCTCTGCCACTACCGAGGTACCTCATCACACATTTGTTATTATTTTTTGGGTGGGAGGGGGGAAGGGCGGTTATGATTTAAGGCATGCAATAAATCTTAAATTTGGTGCTAATGATACGCCGCCTAGTAGTCAGGTGTGTACTTATGAATGGGAGATTCACATATGCTGCATGTAATGGGGAGAAAGTCAAAAATTCTGTCAGAAAGCCCGTCAAAAATTCTTGGAACAGCGTCCGTGCGAAGCCTCGGTCTCTCTCGCTGAAGCGACACGACCACCCCGTTCAGGATGTGCTCGTCGGTTCTCACAACGTCGCTAGCGTCAAAATGCTTTTCGCACACCCGAACGTTCTTACTTTCGAAGCTGAAACCGCCAGCTTCCAACCGCGGTATAGCTCGCTTCCATTTCTCTCGGAGTTCGGCGCTACTTGGGAAACAGAAGAGCGACGCCTTTTCTTTGTTGCTTCGGTATCCGGAGCTGCAACCCGTCACACAGCACGTCTTAGGCATTGTTCATTCGAATTTTCACGCCATCCACCTTGAGCACGGTGCACTGGCACATGAAGTTCGCGTTTCGCTGATGCAGAAACCGCGAGCTGCCACCACACAACGCCTTCGGGATGCCGCCGCGGCCAGTGCGCCCCGCCGGGCGCAGCGGGGCGATGGCCCCCCTAGGACGGCTTGCGCCGCGTAGCGGCCGCTCTTGGCACCATATCAAGCTCTCCCATAGAGTGACGGAGAAGTTTCGTGACCAGAACGGTATTAAGGGACTGTGGTATGTGTAATTTCTGTTTTGCTGTACCAGGGGAAATCCACGTGTGAGAACTTTTTATGTCATGACAAGTGTAGGAAAAGAGGAAGACATTCTTCAAATGTTCCGACCATTTCTGACAAATGAGGTGTGACCCTAAGGCCCCACATTGTAAAAATATAAACAGGGTTCATGCAATTGCTTGAAATCCTTCAAAACTCTTCAATTCGAAAAGTTTGTTTTCAAGGCCTTGAAAGTGCTCGAATTTTCACAAACGCTGACAAATCCTTGAGTTTCCTTTTTAAAGAAACATTTCTGCACATTTCATGGCGCATTATTTGTGACCCTATAATTGTATCAAGTGGCATATGTCCATGCCCACCACAAAAGAATTGAGAACATCAGTAGCTTCTGCACGAAACCAGCACCGTGCAATTCTGTAAACTCTGAACAGGCAAGAACAGGAGGATGAGAAACAGAAAGAGAAATGTTCCATGGAGAAGGAGGTCGAAATGCTTACAAAAAAGTAAAAAAAAAAATTAGAAGCTGCTGTTGAGAAAGTAACAGCTATTGCATGCTCCTATGCAGAAAAGACAGAGACAGTGACCTGACATGCATCATCAAGTTAAACAGCCTTAAGAAGACTGCCAAGACCAAAGTACCGTATATACTCGTGTAAGGGCCGCACTTTTTTTTCGAAAATTTTGCTAGGTGCGGCCCTTACACGAATCAGGCCGATTTAGTACAGGCAGTACAGGCCAAAGGTCTGTACTGTTTATGCAACAGTAGCAGAGTGCAAGAGTCACAAATGACATGCCAGAAATGTTTTTATTCGGATTCCATTTCGCTGTCCTCGTTCTCGGAGGAGCTCGCCTCGGCGTCCGCGTCTTCCCAGAGACGGTCATCTTCGGTGCCGTTCATGGAGTTCGAAATTCCCGTTACCTTGAAGCTTTTAGCAACTACTTCTACTGACATGGCACGCCACGCATTCAAAATCCATTCACACACCTGTTGGAGCGACGCCCGCTTCAGCCGTCCTGTAGGGGTCTTCTCGTGGACGCCTCCAGCCATCCATTCAGAGTAACATCGGCGAAATTCCACTTTGAATGGTCTGTTGACGCATACGTCGAGCGGCTGCAGCACACTCGTCAGGCCACCGGGAATGACGGCCAAGTCCGTACGAGTTGCGGCAACTCGGTTCTTGACGCGGTCGGTCAAGTGGCCCCTAAAGCTGTCCAAAACAAGGAGGGCTTTCCGTTGTAACAGCCCTCCAGGTCTGTTTGCCCAGACGGTCTTAATCCAGTCAACGACCAGTTCCTCGGACATCCAGCCCTTCTCTTGCGCACGTACGACGATTCCCTGAGGGAACTTCTCTTTTGGGAGAGTCTTCCTTTTAAATACGACGTACGGCGGAAGCCTCCTGCCGTCTGCCGTGATGCACAACATCACAGTGCACCTTTGGCGTTCTGCACCAGTCGTGCGCACAGACACACTTTTCGCACCTTTTAAATCCACTGTGGTGCTTTCCGGTGCATCGAACCACACAGGTGTCTGGTCCGCATTCCCAATTTGGGACAGGTCGTATTCATGCTCCCTCCTGAGAGCATTCACGAAGCGATGAAACTTAATGACGTGGTCTTCGTACTCGCGCGGCAGTTTTTGGCAAATCGTCGTTCGGCGCCGAATAGAAAGCTGGTTACGGTTCATAAACCGCGTAGCCCAGCCCCGACTTGCCTTGAATTGTGCCGGGGGTATTTCCATGTGGCGAGCGATGCTGAGGGCTTTGACGCGTATCATGTCAGTCGATACGGCGTAGCCGTCCCTTCGTGTGTCGACGACGTAGTTGACGAGCTCGCTTTCGAGTTGCGGGTACTTGCACTTTTTCCCGCGAAACGCCTTTCGGCTCCTGTTAGTAGCGGCGAGGGCATCTTTCTGATTCATCCAGTAACGCACGCGCTTCTCATCGACGTCGTACTTTCGTCCAGCTTCCCGCTTCCCGTGCTCCTCGGCATAGTCAATCACTTGCAGCTTAAATGCTGCAGTGAATGATCTCAGATGCCGGCCCATCGTCCGTCACGTGCGCTGGCTTCTGCAGGGTTCACTACAACCAACAAAGTGACACCGACGACACCGATCTGAAGTCGCGCTGCCAACGTATCGACACGATGCTAGGAACGATGCCAACAAAGAGGCCGCACAAGGCAAATATGGCGGCGCGCTGTCAACAGCGTGGTCGGCGCGTCGGCGGAAGTAGAATAAAAGCGGAAAAGCGTGCAGCGCCATCTGGCTGTAAATGAACTAACTACACTTTTCTGGCGGGACATTTTGAACTTTTGTTTTTTTTTTTTTCGAAATATCCGCTTTCAAAGTTGGGGTGCGGCCCTTACACGAGGGCGGCCCTTACACGAGTATATACGGTAGCAGGAGGTAGTGGGTATTGATATGAAAAATGGGAAAAAGCAACTAGGCATTGCATAATAACTGTTCCTTAGTTTTTCCTATCTGAATAAAAGTTTGCAGCTTTTGTAATACTAAAAGTGATTACCTATGAAACTCTAAGCAGCTATGATTGAAAATTCTCTGCCCCGCCACGGTGGTCTAGTTGCTAAGGTACTCGGCTGCTGACCCGCAGGTCGCGGGTTCAAATCCCGGCTGTGGCGGCTGCATTTCCGATGGAGGCGGAAATGTTGTAGGCCCGTGTACTCAGATTTAGGTGCACGTTAAAGAACCCCAGGTGGTCAAAATTTCTGGAGCCCTCCACTACGGCGTCTCTCATAATCAAATAGTGGTTTTGAGACGTTAAACCCCACAAATCAATCAAATTGAAAATTGTCTACAAAGAAAATGGAATTGGAGCCAAGTTTTTTATGTTTGCTTCAGTGATGTTACCCTTTATCAATGAATTCTAGTTTTTTGAAGCTTTTATCCTCCCATGAACATGTGTTGGTTGGGTTACTAACAGCAACAGAGTGGCTACATGGGCTGGTTGGTATCGCATTTCTTACTTTCCTAGTGTTGATTGGGTTACTAACAGCAATAGAGTGGCGACATGGGCTGGTTGGTATCGCATTTCTTACTTTTCTAGTGTGCAAAGAACCTGTCAGAAAGAAGACAGATAAAACAGAGATGTTCTGTCCTATCTGGCTTTTTTCTGAAACGTTCTCTGCACATTTTCTGCACACTAAAAAAGCATATTTCTTTCAAAAAGATTTCTATCAGACAGTGTGGTCTTTGAAAAGTCACACACATAGCCTTGAAAAGTCCTTGAAAACCTTTGAGTTTTTGTCATGTGAACAGGCATGAATCCTGTACGAAGAAATCATCCATAGATCTAAGGACTCTTAGAACCTGGGTTTGTAGTAACTGCTGCTTGAGGATTCTGTTGCAGAGAACAATTTAAAAAAAAAATATGGAAGCTCGAGAGGGGGGGGGACGGTGGCTTGCTTAATCATTGGCACATATTTCAATTATCTCGAAAAGTAGAAGGGGGCTTCGGACCAGATAGGGGCACTTGCTTCGATTTTTATGTTACAAGATATGCCACAACTGTGTCTTGCACTCCATTAACTTCCAGTCTGTGCAGAGCTGTGCATAGCCTGCTGAGTCAACTTGAAGTTGGCCCTGCTTTAATTCTTTTTTTTGTTGTTTTTTCTTGTATTGAAGTAGTTCCTTTTTTCAAAACTAGATCGTTTTTAAGTGGAGAATGTTTATATGCACAACAAGTGATTCTTTTTAGCTGGTATCTATGTCAAAACCCTACACTATCACGTTTAATGTTCATGACAATTCACATTTCCTTCAGACAATGATGCAGACGTTAAGGACAAACCGGAACATCCTACGTTCCTGTTTAGCTGTTGGATCCAAGCTGGAGAAAGTAACGTGGATTGTGAACTGCAAGCTCATCGGGGCTCCGTTCAATGTGCAGCCGGTTGCGTTGGATGTGAACTTGGCATTTGAGTATGGAACTCTGTGCCAGTGCCCAACAGCCATTGCTACATCTTACTATGCGCGTGTTCTGCCACCAGTTGCCAGTGACAACGCAAAAGGTCCACAAGCTCGAAAGAGCATACCGAAGAGCACCGAAGCTGAACCCTGTTCTTCTAGCGAGGCCTCTCCTGCCCATCGTGCACATTGTCGCAGTTTAGCAGAGGCTAACTTTTCAACTTCATCAAAGCACTCACAGGAGCTGCCACCCTGTTGTGCTCTTGCAAAGACACTACTCGAGGTGTGGAAGCCAAACATGCATCGCTCCTGGCAGATGACACTCAGACAGTTGTGCCAGGGATTGAAACACTGTCTTGGTCCTAAGAGTGCTGTTTGCATTTGCATTCATGTCGAGCAGTAAACCATGCACTAGTGGAACTTTCTGTTGGGTTATTTGGTAAATGTCTCGTTTAAGTAGTCAACTTCATGCCAAAATCACAACCACACTCAAGAAGAAAACACATAGACAGAAGGGGCGCTCACTTAAAGCTGTTTGATTCTTGAGGAAACAGGCCATCATAAACTCACTTCTCATCAACACATGTGCAACATGATCGGGCCCGTCGCTTACCCAATCACACTATTGGACGTATGCTCCCGATTCATACAGGTTTAGTGATGTTTCGCTAACTGAATTAACACCCCGTTCCTTTATTTGATAGGCCTCCACAATTTCCCGTGCTATCTTGCTTTTATTTTTTCCTGGATCCTAATGTGCTTGAAGCATGGTGTGCATCCACATGAATTTACATGCATGCTTTGTTGCGCACAGTCTTTGTTCTTTATGATGAGAGCGTGTTCCCTCGCTCGATTATTGATGCAGTGCCTCGTGTGGCAAACATAGCTTTTTCCGCATGATGGGGGTATTGTGTACATCACTCCAGTGGCAAATTTCGTGAACATTTCGTCTTTCTTATTGTGTGGATATGATTTTGGTGCGAAGTTGGCTATTTGATTCAGACATGCACTGGTATTGTGCTGCTTGGTACACTACTGGAAGCTGTTCCATCTGTTGTTATTGGTGCATCAAAAGACGAGATGCCACTCTTGTGAGTAATCTGTATGGAAAATATCCCTGGGGACTGTTGGCTATGATCGGTCATTCTTGAGGCCCGTGCGCTTCATCCCATGCATTTGGACTACCGTATTTACTCGCATAATCCTCGCACTTTCTTTTGCCGGAAAACCGATGAAAAGTTGGGGGGTGCGAGAATTACGCCGGGAAAACTTTCTACGAAAACGTACAGAGCGAAAAAGAAACCGAAGTGTCCGCAAATCTGGATTCTCACACCAACAACTAACAGCAAGCTTTAAGAAGTACTAATTAAAACTTACCTCAACAATAAAAGCAGAGGTTCAACACAAGACAAGATTAATTTGAGACACAAAAACTGGAAGCAAATAGTCGAGAATTAGAATACCATACGCAAAGCTTGCGGACGTTGCGGGTGTAGCGGTAGCGTTCGTCGCTCAACAGGAGCCCTCAAAAGGTAAGTGTGGGATGTCAGTATTGGGCTAATGGCTATTTAACAGAATTTTCCGCAGTTTCCTTTTTAACAAATAAAGTTTATCATCAATCCCAAGGGCCTACCGGCGGCCCTGTTGCCATTCTTTAGTGCATTATCTATCACTTGCAACTTGAAAGCAGCCGTACAGCTTCAGTATTGCCTCATAACTTGACAAGCTTACCGACGCAACATACAAAACACGCCGCAATGTGCACTGGCCACGTCGGCTTCGCTTGAGTTGGATTGAATATCTGTGCAATAGTACGCTTGATCCTTAAGAGATGGCGCCAGATGATGTGCGCTATCAATATCAGTGGCTGGAAAGAGCAGGCGACATTACTGCAGCAGTTTTCGGGGGTGCGATAATTACTCGAGGACAAAAAGAAATTGTATTTTTGTTGGGCGATGTGGGGGGTGCGAGAATTGTGCGAGTGCGAGGATTACGCGAGTAAATACGGTATTTAATAGCGCATTGACTGTTTCACCACAAAGTTTCTGTTCTGCTTGATAACGCAGTACAGTTACAACCTAGTGTGCAAGACAGGCACTTCAATTTTTTTTCTTTCCTCTCAATGAAAAGTCATTTTCAGCAACTTCACCATGCCTATACATATTGCAGCTCATAAGACATGCAACAAAACTATGGTATAGGTTGTACACATAGCCAACAAAATGAAGTTTTGCGTGTTATTCAGGAACCTGCATTAGTACAACAAAGCCATTGTCATAGGACATGCGTAAGTCTCTCCAGGAAAGTCTACATAACCCAAACATAGTCATCATAGATGCACATGTGAAATGAGCAGTACAAAGGAGCTTGTCTTCTGTTGGCTTTTTTTTTAGTGCTAATTCACATCACCCTTATGAGTTTACCCTTCCTCTGTTCATAAAAGTATGAGGAATCAAAATTACCTGCTGGTTTTGTAAGTGTTCTTTTGAAAAGGCGTTACTGAACTGCTTCACAAATTTTATGTAGAAACATTGCAGGAACAGTTGTATGTATTATTACTTTGACAAAAGATACATTATTTTGCTTTGTTTCTTGTTTTATTTATCTCATCAGTGCATTAAGAAATCTTTGATAGTTCATATGAAGGAAGGAACAGAGCTTGCACTAGCTCACAGCTTTCTTTCTAAACCCTTTCAAAGAGGGCACCCAAACAGTCTGTCTGATTACATGGACTTCAAGCGGCGGTAAACTATTGCCATGTATGTGGTATTTTCGTGTATGTGGCGTATGTGGTAAAAAGCAAGCCCCATAATAAATGCGGCTTTCAAGTGCTCACACTGTTTGGGTTGTCTTCATAATAGAATGACTAAAAGCATGCGCCCTCTTTGGGTAAATAGCCTTGAATATCAGTAGTGCAGAAGATATGATGAAAAAAGTCTACCCGTATCACACTGACCAACTAGGCTGTTCCAAAGCATCTCTCTAATAGACCCTATTGCGAATTTTCGCTTACACACTGGACACTCTAGAGCACCCCCTGAGGACGGAATCGCTCAAAATCGATTCAATATTCAACCACTTAGAAGCAATTGGGCCACCATCTTACGACCATGCATGCAGGAGGCTAACTGTCACATTCACTTCCTCGGCTAGCATCCACAACTGGAATACTGTATTATCTAAAGTGCTGATGGCATCACGCTCATGTGACTAGGCCCACTTTCTGTTTTGCTTTCTGGTGTGATGGCATTGTGTAGTATGCATTGTATACTCAAGTCCTGTGCCATGATCAGAGGCACGTTTATGTAACTTTCACTATCCCTTAAAGCATTGCTTTCTTATGTCGTTGTTCTGAGGGAAAAGAGAAAACCAGGCTTTTATAAGACTATTCTAATCTGCTGCTACTTTTTTTATGTAGCATATATTATGGTTCGTACGAAATCAGCACTCCATCACTATTTTAGCTGTACTCAAAGTGTAGGAGCTGATTCTGACATGTATCAGGTCCTTTATTTTTTGAAGTAATACTTCACAATATAAAACAGCTAGTGCTATGTTTATTTAACTTGAACACAACTTGCATACTACAAATAGTTTTTTTTTCTCAAATTCGGAGGCAAACCTTCTTTCTTATTTACTTTGTGGATGACAACTCATTAGTTTTTATTCGCTTCATTTTTAATGTACTTAGCACTTGCTAAGCTCACCTGTTTGCTCTCTTTTCAAGTATGGCCGCTTCAAAGTATGCAGTGCGTGGATCGCTTAGTCTGAGCATATCCGAAAAGATCCTAGGGCTTGTAGCTCTTACTTGCATTCTGTATAGATTGCCTAATAAAGTTAGAGCTTATTATTTGCAATGGTCTGTATGTACAGTCTGTTTCACAATTAGGGTAAATCTTGGATCGCTTGATAGGTGGTGCGGCCAGCGCTGTATCCACGTGCCGCCATATAAATTGATATGATTCAACACTATGGCCCTTCAAGTGTCTCTGCATGTGCGAGCTGCTGGCTATACACATTTGCTGCGCTGGCCGCACCGCGATTTTTGCGATCCGAGATTTCCGCTAAGTGTGAAACAGACTGTACCTATATACTATATGTGTTTTCAATGTGTCTGTATATGAACAATGTTATTATGAGCTATATAGGTTACCCAGCTTTATGTTAACACATTCCTGATGTGTTGTTCGCCGCTCATCTTATAAATATTGAGGATATTTATTGAGATGTGTTCATGCCACATGTAAAAACCTCTACTTAGCCGCCTCAATTTGTTGCACTTTGTACTAAGAACTGTAGGTATGCTTCTTCATGAGCGTGTGTCAGCCTACCAGTCATGCCTAATGACATGGTACAATTAATATAAAGATGAAGAATACATTTATATATGCATTTCAAATGACATTTTGTTTTTTCTCTTTTCGTTGCTATGCCATTGTGTGCAAATGCGCATACGTTTTTTGTGGTCTTGTATGTGTACTTCATAATACAATGTGCTTGGCAAATGCCTTAGGGTGTATATCGCATTTCATTTTAAGTCAAGCACCGGAAGTTAAAACATCTCCTGCTGTATCTGTCAGGCATTTTTTTCACTATACTATCAACTGAGCAGATTTCAGCCCATTTGTCTACTAGCCATATATATCTATGGGAACTACATAATTAAGTTCTCCAATTCAAGCTCTTGCATTTCCCTGGCCCAAATCTCTTGCAGCAGATCTGTTCTGCTTTTCAAGAATGAGCCATTAGATGATCTCAAAAACTCTCATTATCATCAATAGCCTATACCTTTTTAACAATGTGGATCATTTCAAGCCAAACGTCGCAGCCATTTTGATGACCATGCGAAACACACTCGAAAAAAAATTGTGCTGATTGACTGCATTGAAAGCAGTGAATTGCTAGAATACTTTGGAGAGAAAAAAGTTTTTTTTGGTCACAGGATGCCTTCTGAACATCTCATCATGTCGTGTGGATATTGTATGGGCAAAAAGTTATTTTAAAAGTATCGCCTCTTTTTTCTGTGGCATTTTTTTTGTTTACATATTAAGTAAAAGTGAGTCTGTAAGAAATTAATTTTTGAAGTTCATTATTGATGGCAATGGTGAACTTTGAGACAGAAGCTGTCGTGTAACGTACCTGATGGAGAGATAGCTGTCAATGAAAAACTTCAAAATATGTTCATTCTTATAACAAGAAATATAGTGATAAAACTTGCCATATAGAAAGAACAGTTTATTTGCTTTGATTCAGGTACAAAGATGATTTTCAATGGAACCATCACATGGGGCAAATTGCGTCCCAATGTGGACGAAAAGGACAATTTCGTGAAATTCATTGTTTTTTTTTCATAAAGCTTAGCAACTTGAAGGACCCAAAAATATCTTTTACAGAAAATACAGTCGAATCTCAATAATTTGAACTCAAAGGGGCCTGAAAATTTGTTCGAATTAAAAGAAGTTCGAATTAATAAAAACTTAATAAACGGAGGGCTCCCCATGCAGTGGCGCATGTGCATTGAGCTAACACACGAGAGGAAAGTTTCAGAAGACTTACATTTATTCACAAATCACAGGACATCTGTCATTAATTGAAGTGATCGGTGATGCGCGTCTGCACACATTTGCCTTGCACCGAGTCAATCAATTTCGCACGCAGCTTGCAAAGCATGTCTACTTCGTCTTAAGCAATCTCCTGGCAAGAGAAGTTGCGCGCGGCAATGTCAAGTGCCGACACTCCAAGAAGACAACGACTGCATCGCCGCTACTACCCTCTGCACCAGAGCCGCAGGGTGGCCAGCACGTAGATGGATGTATGGATGGATGGATATGGCTGTACCTTTTTGATGGGGCGGTGGCTAGAGCCACCAATCAGTAATACTTAATGAACCAAATACTAGATTTCTTTTTTTTCCCTTAAATAATGAGGTTGAGTATTCGTACTTTGCAGTGAAGGGTTTAATTTTCACTCGTGCCTTGACTTTAGCCACCAACCAGATAACCTCCTTCTAGTTAATTCTACCCGCTTAAAGTATATTTTGCCCTCCCTTTCCTTAAACCCCAGTGCTTTGAAAAACTCTGCCCCATCATCCTGAACTATAGGGTAAAGCCCTTTAAAAAACATTATCAAGTGTACGGTAGTTTCTTCTTCCTCTCCACACGCACTGCATACCTTGTCTACCCCTTCAAATTTGACCCGATATGTCTTGGTTCGCAATACTCCCGTCCTGGCCTCAAACAGTGGAGAACTACCCCGAGTATTATCATAGATCCTTTCCTTGGCAATTTCCTGCTTAAAAGTTTGATAGATCTCTAGTGCGGACTTCTTAATCATGCCACTTCTCCACATATCGGTCTCAGCTTCCTTCACCTTCTTCTTAACCGATAATTCTTTTTGGTTTGATCCCCTGCTGTTTTCTAAGTATTTACCAGTCAATTTTCTGGTTTGCTTCCTCCATTTTGTATCGACAATCTTCATGTACAAGTAGCTGAATACCTTCCCAGCCCATTCCTCCTCTCCCATTTCTCTCAATCCTTTCCAAATCTTATCTTTCTGGTAGCTTCCCTGCCCTCAAATGATGTCCATCCCATATCACCTTGTACTTCCTGATTTGATGTATTCCCGTGAGCTCTATGGAGATAGGTTTGCACTAGGCTTACCTACTATGCGCAACCGTGTAGGGATCCTACGTCCTCCACTGCCGCGGCCGGGTTCGTCGTTTTATCCGGCACGGCGCACAAACCACGCACGAGGCAGGATAACAACAACAACGGGTTTATTAAACCAAGATGCAGCACAGTGCGACACTCACGGTCTTGCAGGCCGTATAGGGAACTCCGCTAAGACCGAGCAAGTACGCTTGCCCTGGGCGCTACGACTCCCGCACAAGGGCCGAAGTCGGACGCACGAACGAGAAGCCGCCTGCTAAGCAGCGCGTCAACCTCTCGTGGAGGCGTGAGAGCATCTGCCGTGACGAGCGAATCATCGGGCGCAACACAGCTCGTAGGAGAGGAGGATGTCACGTGCGCCCAAAGGGAAATGGCGCTGCGTTGTGACGTAGGCCCGCGTAGCTTGCCGGACATGCCAGCGCGGGAAGAAGCCGAAGGATGACTGGCCCAGACCAAGAGGCGCCCTGGCAGCCATCTTGGCGGATGCCGGTGCTTATGCGCGCCCGGGCTACGCTGGTGGCGCGCGTGCGGCAGCTGGGGAATGAGGCGCCAGGTAAAAGGGCGCTCTCGATTCCCGCATCCCCCCTCCCCCCTCCTAAGACCGAGGCCGCCCTAAAGACGCCGTAATGACAGCATCCACCGACACTGAAAAAACTGAGGTCCAGGTCCATGCCGTCTACGAGATCGTCGGGCGCCGCGGTGTCTTCGGCGGCGTCTCAGCAGGAGCCTGGGGCCGCGGGATGGCGGCGGACACCGCAGCAGCGATGGCCGACTTGAATGAAGAGTCCGTGAAGAGCGCCGCCACGACCGCCTGAATGGAGTCGGTCGACAGGGCAGGTTGAAGGCCCGGGCCAGGCGGCATCGAGGCACTTCCGGAAGCGTCGAGCAGACCCGAAAGGGTGCGTCCGCGGAAAGGACGCGGGACGGACTCGGGGTCTAACCCCACCCAAACTTTGCGTTGCTTGGACTAGCGACGAGTCGACACGAAGGCGGCCGAGGCCTCAGTGCCATGTTGGAATGTCCACGTAGCGACTTCACGACGAGGCGGTGTCTTGTTAGCCGGGGCCGGGGAAGCATTTGACGGAGGCGGCAAGGACGCGGCCGGTGCCTGAGGAACGACCGAGCACGCGGCTGGTCTCCCGGGTTTTTTTCTTGGAGGAACGGGTCATCAAGGAGGAAATCACGAATGCTGGGGTGTCGATGAAAAGCAGAAACGCACTGAAGGTGCGGCCCCGGAGGAGCGACAGGCTGGCCCAATAAAAAGAGCCTACTCCGTCGGATTGAAGGTTGCGTGAGCCAATAGGGCGCACGCTTCCCTTCTCCCGCCGACTACGTGGAAGACACCCAGTGAGAGAGTGAGCCACCGGAGAAAGGGCTTTTCTCTCTCGAGCAGCCGGGAGCGCTGGGAACCGGGTGGATATTCCGCGCGGAGCACGTGTAATGGTGTTACCAGGGAGAAAGCTCGCCAGGTAGCCGTTACTGTTGCTGCTGGATGGGCAATCGCACAGCAGCTATAAATCTCCGCTCGCTTACATGGAGGGGATAACGTCCCGCTACATGCCAGGGGCGAAAATCAGCCTAAGTACGTTTTCGCAGGTTGTACTAGTGGGGTGGTTTGGAACCAGCCTTATCCCGGTTTCCCTGCGGTTCGGTGACTGCCTCCCCCTCCCCGTAGTCGTTGCTGCGGGCAACGAAAGGTTTAAGGTCGGAGACGTTAACTGGACCGCCGACTGGTCTCCCTTGGGAGTCAGCCAGCTTGTATACCAGGGGCGACACTTTGGTGTGCACTCGGTATGGGCCGAACCACTTGGCCGAAAGGGAGGCCGAGATCCCTTTGGCGGCGTCACTCAAGACGTGATTGCGCCTGTGGACGAGATCACCGGCATCGTAACGGACATCCCGATGCGACCGGTCGTATTGAGCCTTCTGACCAGCTCGCACTTTTGCCAGGTTGGAACGCGCCAGGTCGAGGGCCGCGTCCATCCGTGAGCGCAGTTGCGCCGCGTAGCCAGACGGGCTGACCTTCGCGGCACTTGCCCCGCCTCCGCCCCGTAGGACGCGGTCCATTGGGTTAGGCAGCTCTTTCCCAAAGTTGAGGAAAGCGGGCGTGTACCCTGTCGAGCGATTGACCGTAGACCGCTAGGAGAAGCCGATCTCGTTAAGACAAGCATCCCAATCCCTGTGTTGCTGCGCAAAGGCTGTCAGCAAGGGATTGAGGCTCCGGTTGATCCGCTCGGTCGGATTGGCCTGTGGGTGACACGTGGTTGTCTTATGGTGCTTAATGCCAAAGGCAGCACACGCATCCACAAACACCTTGGCCGTGAAATAGGACGCATTGTCCGTGATCAACTTCGCCGGAAAGCCAAAGCGGGTAAAGACCTCGGTCAACTTGTCCCAGATTACGCGTGCCGTTAACTTCCGAAGGGGAAACAGTTCGACCCACTTCGTGAAGTGATCTGTGACAGCCAGGAGAAAAGCATGGCCTCTCCGGCTTCTTGGGAAAGGTCCCATAATGTCACAGGCCGCGACCTGCCAAGGCTGTTGGCTGTTGATCGGCTGCATGAGCCCGGGAGGCTTCACGCATTGGCGCACGCGGCATGAGTGGGCGTAGGTGAAGGGCGTCGCGCTTCATGCCAGGCCAGGTAGCGCAGCGGCACAACTTGTGAAGTCTTAAGGCCACTCGCGTGTCCGGCCAACCGCGAGTCGTGGAAGAAACCTAGGGTGGCTTTCCTTAGACTGCGGGGTATCACCACCTTGAAAGACTCCTGGGGAGCTTCTTCAGTGGGACGTAGCGCAGGAGAACGCCGTCGGCATCAAGCAGGTACGAGTCCAACGTGCCCG